AATTAAAAATAATTATTCATGCCTTAACCCTCTGGGCTTCTTCGGTCAAAAATGACCGAAAACTGTTACGTTTTGAAATGTTTAATTTTTTTGCTTGATCGAATCGGGCTGAAACTTGGTGACTTTTGTTGTATTACCTATATGAACACACACAAAAATCAAGGAGATGATTCTGATTTGTTAAAGGGTCGTAAAAAAAAAAGTCACACTTAGCTTCCTCCCGGTCAAAAATGACCGACATAGGAAATGAATGGGAAATACGAAAAAATAGGAAAACTCAGAGAAACTTTTGGTGGTACAAGCTACAGATCAGCAACTGTGCAGAAAAAAAGTGTACAGCAATGAAGGGGTGACACTCTAGAACATCAAGAGTGCAAATAAGACCACCCCCCCCACACACACACACAAACACACACACATACACAGATAAACTGGCAAGACTGCACCAGCAAATTTGTAGAATATGAAAAATAAAATCAATAAATGAGAAAAAAATCTTGCTCAAATGCGCACTCACACACACACACGCACACAGACATGAGAAATCATGTCTAAACCAACAAAAAGAATCAAAAAGCCTTTCTATGTATTTGAATAGGAAGCTAATAGGCAGCCTACAGGCTGTACAGGACATTGCACACATGTAACTATTTTTTAAAGCCACTAGGTGGCGCTCTTCTACTTGAATTATTTTTTTTTATTAGCTGACACTCTATTTTGATGTGAAATGTTGTATTTATTGAAAAAAAAATAAAAAACAATATAAAATAAAAATATGTATATTAATTCTAATGGAAAAAATAGCTCATAAAAATTATATAATTAATGCAAAGTATCATAAAAAATTCTAAAAATTCTAAATAATAATCATAAAATATTATAGAACAAAAATATATTTGAATGGTTATCCTGGGAAGAAGTAAAGTAAAATTTTAAGGCTTCGTCCGTTTTTGACCGGGAGGAAGCTAAGTGTAACCCATTTACGAAGAAGCCCAGAGGATTAAAATAGCTTGAATGTAACTCGACACCCTTGCGCATTGCTGAGTATTTCCTCCTTAAAACCTTTAAACTTTGAAATCGCTGGTGTTTCTGACGTCACAAACCACCTCGTAACCAATCAGATCAATGTGTGATCGTCAAAAACTTGAGCATGCACAGGTTTAAGGTCCTGTATTATGCCCCTTTTCGCAAGATGTAAAATAAGTCTCTGATGTCCCCAGAATGTGTATGTGAAGTTTCAGCTCAAAATACCCAACAGATCATTTTTTACAGCACGTTTAAAAGTGAGTGCCCTTTAAATGCAAATGAGCTGCGGCTGCCGGCACAGGGGGCGGAGCTTCATGAGCTCGCGTTCAGTCTCTCAGGACAATTTCACCTCACGGATGAATGTCGATAATATCAGAAACTCTCAGTAACGGTGTTCATTTCCAGTCGGACAATAATGCCTACAGAGTCAGAGTGCTGTATAGAGATGGAACAGGTATAGTTTAGTAGTTTAATTACGGTTATTATTATAACGTATTTGTCATCTGCTTGTATCCATAGCCTACAAGTCTGCAGTTTCAGAATGATGATCAAACATATAAGTTACTGATGAGTTTAATAAAGTTTATTGTACATCACACGTCAGTTTTACCTCTGAAAATCACTGTAAGAGCTGAGTAAACACTGTAAGTTATGTTGAGGGAGTTGAGGGAGCCTTCCTGTGGCGGACGTTAGTCAGAAAACTGTTCTACTGACGTCATTAAAGAAGGGAGTAGGGATGTTGTAGTCCAAATGGCCGGTTCGATGTAGGCTACTTCTGTTAAATAAAATATCTCGCTTGGTATTGAACTTTGAGCTTTACAGATATTATTTTTACTTTAACAACAACATTACACACTAACTAAAGTTTGAAACATGGGATCACGAAGAACGGGACCTTTAATGTTCTGTCCTTTATAATTTCATCCTTTAAAAAGTCGTCTTTGATCACTAAAATGACATTAAGTGTTTTTTTTTTCTTGAAAAATGCCTTAAGATATCTTGAATGTAACTCGACACCCTTGCATCATTTAGTATGCGCGGTGCTATGAATATGCAAATGAGCCCCGCCTCCACTCACTCACTCAGCTCAGAGATCCACTGGTTGACGATCACACGTTGATCTGATTGGTTACTCGACACCTTTGCCTCATTTACATTGGACAAAATTATAAACACAACACCTGTTTTTGCCGCCATTTTTCATGAGCTGCACTCAAAGATCTGAGACTTTTTCTACGTACACAAAAGGCCTATTTCTCTCAAATATTGTCAAAATTTGTTAGTGAGCGCTTTTCCTTTACCGAGATAATCCGTCCACCGCACAGTTGTGGTGTATCAAGATGCGGATTAGACAGCAGGATTATTGCACAGGTGTGCCTTAGGCTGTCCACAATAAAAAAGTGAATAAATGGATTATAAATACAGCGAAAACATCACTTAGTACCATAAAATACAAAATATTAAATATAAAAAATGATCGCACTACAACAGTACATTTCATTGAAGAAGAAAAAAATCGACACGCGAAGATGTTTAGATGTTTGAGCTGGAAAACAAGAAGAAAGAACATCATTATATAAATAATAGTACAATAATTTGTATGCTGCAGTTTCTTCCGTTTATCTCTCCAGACCAATGACTCTCTGGTGCGTCCGTCGGCCTTCAAACCCGTGGTGCCGAAGAGCTTTCACTCCATGCAGAACCTGGTGTGTCCCCTCCAGACGGGCTCCGGCTCGGCTCCGGGTCCGAGTGGTGTCGGCGCCGGCGGGTCCGAAGCGGGTCCGAACCAGGACAGTCCCGGCAGCCGAGGAACACACATGGGCCCGGGCCTCTCGGACTCGGGGAGGAACTCTCTCACGAGCCTTCCCACGTACACCGGGTCCGGTTACGGTCCGGCTCCGGCTCTCGGGCCCCTCAGCGCCTCCACCAGCCACATCAACCGGCTTGGCACCGGCGTCCCGGATAAACCGGGCTTCCAGAACGGGCTCAGCGCGTCGGACAGCGGGCGCTCGTCCTCGGGGAAGAGCTCGTCCTCGTACCAGCGCCTCAGTCACATGAGCGACGGCCCCGGACCCCTGAGGCCCTCCCCGAACTCAGACGACGTCATCCAGGACCTCGAGGACCGGCTGTGGGAGCGAGAGCAAGAAGTGAGTGAGGTGACAACCTTTATATGATCCTTTTACACACAGCCCACATTCATTCATTCATTCATTCATTCATTCATTCATTTTCTTTCATTTTGCTTACACCATTGGACATTTATTTGTTTATTTAATTTGTATACACCATTGAATATTAATTTATTACATTTGTAGACACCATTGGATATTTATTTATTTTAAGGCTAAATGGCAAGTTAAATTCACTCTTTATTTATATATTCATTCATTTATTCATTTTTTTTAATTTTGTATACACACTACTGAATATATGATTTATTTAATTTATTAAATTTGTATACACTATTGGATATTTATTTATTTATTTTATTATATATATATATATATATATATATTCTTTTTTTTATGCACCATTGAATATTTAATTTATTTAATGTATTACAATTGTATATTGTGTGACCATTGGATATTTTATTTTATTTATTTTAAGGCTAAATGGCAATTAAAATTTTACTCACTATATATTCATTCATTTTTTTCATTTTGTATATACACCATTGAATATTTAATTTATTAAATTTGTATACACTGTTGGATATTTATTTATTTATTTTATTTTTTGCATGCACATTGGATATTTTCCATTAAGTCTAAATTGTAAGTTAAATTCTCTCTTTGTTTAAAGTTGCTCTGAATAAAAGTGTTTGCTGAATGACAGTGAGATTTACTGTACTTGCCAGAAATTGTTTTTACACTGTCTTTCGTCACCACTAGAAACTGTTTATAATCAATGACAAAAATCAAGATTGCAAAACTTGACATTTTAATGTTGGGATTGGAGAATGGTGTTTGCTTTTACTTTTATTTTTATTTAATTTAATTTTGAATATATATATATATATATATATATATATTTATTTTCAATTTTATGCATATAGTTCATTTACTGCTATATACATTACTCTTTTATTTTTGCATACATATTGGATATTCTATTTTATTTAATTTTGCATAGACCATGGGATATTTTATTTATTTATTTAATTTGATTACACAATTGGATGATTATTTATTTATTTATTTATTTTGGATGCACATTTTTTTAATACACTATTGATATTTATTTGTTTATTTATTTTAAATTAATAAATTGGTGTACACAGTTACATATTTCATGTATTCATTTATTCTATTTAATTTTAGTAATTCGTATACACCATTATATATTTTATTTAATTATTTAATTAATTTCATTTGAATGCACCATTGGATAATTATTTATTTATCCTCTTTATTTTTTCATACACCATTGATATATTTTTTTTTATGTAATATTATTATATGCATAAAACATTGAATATTTTTCAAAATGTTCATTGGGTGAATTGCTATCATATAAATGTGTGAAGAAAAGTCAAAGCAAGTCAATGAATGCAGCATTTTAAAATGTCCTTTTGTTTAGCAGGGGAAAAATGGTTAGATTATAAATAAAACAGCCATTTTATGTTAATAATCCAATCAGTTTATATTGTTCCAGGAAGTGGCATCAATTACCAATTAGGTTATAAATGCTTAACATAAATAATGCATAATAAATGCAATTTTATTGTATTGTAGCTTTAACAAACGTCAGGACAGATCCTGAGGTTTCCTTCAAATGTCAGTGTCAGTAAACCAGAAGATGCATGTGTTGCATTATGAATCTGACACATGACATTTGAGAATGCACCTATGCCTGAAATGAAGAGTGTGTTGTGGTGTGTTTTGTCGTCGCCTCAGGTGATACACATGCGGCGTAACCTGGACCAGAGCGAGGCGGCCATCGCCCAGGTGTTTGAGGAGAAGCAGCGCGTGTGGGAACGAGAGATGGAGGACCTGAGGCAGAACTACGCCGGCCGGCTGCAACAGGTGACGCGAAACACACACTTCTGTCCATTACAGTTTAAAGGGATAGGGTCACCCATAAATGTTAATTAGCACATGATTTACTTACCCTGAAGTAGTACTAGGTGTATATGACATTTTTATGATGGATAGTTGCACTTTTATGACGGACAGATGCACTTTTATGATGATAGATGCACTTTTATGATAGACAGATGCACTTTTATGATGATAGATGCATTTTTATGATGGACAGATGCATTTTTATGATGGACAGATGTACTTTTATGATGGACAGATGCACTTTTATGATGGACAGAGGCACTTTTTATCATGGATAGATGCACTTTTATGATGATAGATGCACTTTTATGATGGACAGATCCACTTTTATGATGATAGATGCACTTTTATGATGGACAGAGGCACTTTTATCATGGACAGATGCACTTTTATCATGGATAGATGCACTTTTATGATGATAGATGCACTTTTATGATGGACAGATGCACTTTTATCATGGATAGATGCACTTTTATGATGGACAGATGCACTTTTATGATGATAGATGAACTTTTATGATGGACAGATGCACTTTTATGATGGACAGATGCACTTTTATGATGGACAGATGAACTTTTATGATGGATAGATGCACTTTTATGATGGACAGATGCACTTTTATGATGGACAGATGCACTTTTATGATGGACAGATGCACTTTTATCATGGATAGATGCACTTTTATGATGATAGATGCACTTTTATGATGGACAGATGCACTTTTATCATGGATAGATGCACTTTTATGATGGACAGATGCACTTTTATGATGATAGATGCACTTTTATGATGGACAGATGCACTTTTATGATGGACAGATGCACTTTTATGATGGACAGATGCACTTTTATGATGGACAGATGCACTTTTATGATGGACAGATGCATTTTTATGATGGACAGATGTACTTTTATGATGGACAGATGCACTTTTATGATGGACAGAGGCACTTTTATCATGGATAGATGCACTTTTATGATGATAGATGCACTTTTATGATGGACAGATCCACTTTTATGATGATAGATGCACTTTTATGATGGACAGATGCACTTTTATGATGGACAGATGCACTTTTATCATGGATAGATGCACTTTTATGATGATAGATGCACTTTTATGATGGACAGATGCACTTTTATCATGGATAGATGCACTTTTATGATGGACAGATGCACTTTTATGATGATAGATGAACTTTTATGATGGACAGATGCACTTTTATGATGGACAGATGCACTTTTATGATGGACAGATGAACTTTTATGATGGATAGATGCACTTTTATGATGGACAGATGCACTTTTATGATGGACAGATGCACTTTTATGATGGACAGATGCACTTTTATCATGGATAGATGCACTTTTATGATGATAGATGCACTTTTATGATGGACAGATGCACTTTTATCATGGATAGATGCACTTTTATGATGGACAGATGCACTTTTATGATGATAGATGCACTTTTATGATGGACAGATGCACTTTTATGATGGACAGATGCACTTTTATGATGGACAGATGCATTTTTATGATGGACGGATGCACTTTTATGATGGACGGATGCACTTTTATGATGGACAGATGCACTTTTATGATGATAGATGCACTTTTATGATGGACAGATGCACTTTTATGATGACAGATGCACTTTTATGATGGACAGATGCACTTTTATGATGGATAGATGCACTTTTATGATGGATAGATGCACTTTTATTATGATAGATGCACTTTTATGATGGACAGAAGCATTTTTATGATGGACGGATGCACTTGTATGATGGACAGATGCACTTTTATGATGATAGATGCACTTTTATGATGGACAGATGCACTTTTATGATGATAGATGAACTTTTATGATGGACAGATGCACTTTTATGATGGACAGATGCACTTTTATGATGGATAGATGCACTTTTATTATGATAGATGCACTTTTATGATGGACAGATGCACTTTTATGATGACAGATGCACTTTTATGATGATAGATGAACTTTTATGATGGACAGATGCACTTTTATGATGACAGATGCACTTTTATGATGATAGATGAACTTTTATGATGGACAGATGCACTTTTATGATGGACAGATGCACTTTTATGATGGATAGATGCACTTTTATTATGATAGATGCACTTTTATGATGGACAGATGCACTTTTATGATGATAGATGCACTTTTATGATGACAGATGCACTTTTATGATGATAGATGCACTTTTATGATGACAGATGCACTTTTATGATGGACAGATGCACTTTTATGATGGACAGATGCACTTTTATGATGACAGATGCACTTTTATGATGGACAGATGCACTTTTATGATGGACAGATGCACTTTTATGATGGGCAGATGCACTTTTATGATGGATAGATGTACTTTTATGATGGACAGATGCACTTTTATGATGGACAGATGCACTTTTATGATGGACAGATGCACTTTTATGATGGACAGATGCACTTTTATGATGGACAGATGCACTTTTATGATGGGCAGATGCACTTTTATGATGGATAGATGTACTTTTATGATGGACAGATGCACTTTTATGATGGACAGATGCACTTTTATGATGGACAGATGCACTTTTATGATGGATAGATGCACTTTTATAATGGACAGATGCACTTTTATGATGGATGGATGCACTTTTATGATGGACAGATGCACTTTTATGATGATAGATGAACTTTTATGATGGATAGATGAACTTTTATGATGGACAGATGCACTTTTATGATGGACAGATGCACTTTTATCATGTATAGATGCACTTTTATGATGGATAGATGAACTTTTATCATGGATAGATGCACTTTTATCATGGATAGATGCACTTTTATCATGGATAGATGCACTTTTTCACACCACCACCCAAAAAAAAAAAAAACTACAATAAAACCCAGCACCCCAACCTAAAGCATGTTCCCGCGCCCCTGCAGGTGACCCGACGGGCCCAGCGTTCCCAGCATGCACTGCAGGCCCAGATCGGGCGTCTCCAGCAGGACAAGCGCCGGCTCCAGGACGAGATGACGCTCCTGCTCGCTCAGAGAGAAGAACTGGAGAAGAAGTGCTTGGACTTCAGGAAGGAACAGGCCGATATTCTGCCCAGACTCGAGGAGACCAAGTGGGAGGTCAGTCTGAAGACAACACTGGAAAAATGCTTTTGTCCGTCAGTATTTTTGTCTTGTTTTCAGTTTCCATTGTGTGTGTGTTTGTTTGTGTGCAGGTGTGTCAGAAGGCGGGTGAGATCTCTCTGCTGAAGCAGCAGCTTCGGGAGAGTCAGGCCGAGGTGACGCAGCGCGCCGGAGAGATGGTGGCCCTGCGGGGTCAGATGAAGGAGCTCAACGCCCAGCTGAGAGAGCGAGAGGAGAACGAGATCAGCCTCAAGGAGTCCTTCTGCACCAAGACCCTGGAGCTGGAGCGCTGCGAGGCCGAGCTGCAGACCATGCTGGCCGAGGTACACACACATCACACAACGGCTCGTCTGCAAAAAATGCTTTTCTTACTTAGTATTTTTGTCTTGTTTCCAGTCCAAATATCTAAAAAATCAAGTGAGCCATTCAGCAGTAGGGGGCGTGTCCACTCATGATGGGGAGGAGAGAGTGAGCCAATCAGCAGTAGGGGGCGTGTCCACTCATGATAGGGAGGAGAGAGTGAGCCAATCAGCAGTAGGGGGCGTGTCCACTCATGATGGGGAGGAGAGAGTGAGCCAATCAGCAGTAGGGGGCGTGTCCACTCATGATGGGGGAGGAGAGAGTGAGCCAATCAGCAGTAGGGGGTGTGTCCACTCATGTTGGGGAGGAGAGAGAGTGAGCCAATCAGCAGTAGGGGCGTGTCCACTCATGATGGGGAGGAGAGTGAGCCAATCAGCAGTAGGGGCGTGTCCACTTATGATGGGGGAGGAGAGACAGTGAGCCAATTAGCAGTAGGGGGCATGTCCACTCATGATGGGGGAGGAGAGAGTGAGCCAATCAGCAGTAGGGGGCGTGTCCACTCATGATGGGGGAGGAGAGAGTGAGCCAATCAGCAGTAGGGGGTGTGTCCACTCATGTTGGGGAGGAGAGAGAGTGAGCCAATCAGCAGTAGGGGGCGTGTCCACTTATGATGGGGGAGGAGAGAGAGTGAGCCCATCAGCAGTAGGGGGCGTGTCCACTCATGATGGGGAGGAGAGTGAGCCAATCAGCAGTAGGGGGCGTGTCCACTTATGATGGGGGAGGAGAGACAGTGAGCCAATTAGCAGTAGGGGGCGTGTTCATTTAAGGTCTTAGCAATGAAGGGAGTGTCTGTTTGGGTCTATTTCAGACATAAAGTGTTTCTCAGAAATCTCTTACTGCACCTTAATTTCATAATTGTTATTTATCTCAGAAGGATCGCTATTAGATATTTTCCCCACTTTTTCTTGATATGTTGTTGACATGTTTAAACTTGTCTTCAGGTCACGGTGCTGCGGGACAAGCTGAGCGCGTTTGAGTCGGAGGTCACGCGTCTGAAGAAGGCCCTCGGTGACCTCGGCAGCAGCTCCAGTCGTCCCAGCGATCCCAGTCTGTCCGATATGGGGCAACTGGTGGCGTCCCGTAGCCGAGAGCATCTCATGTCCCCTTCGGATCCGCCAACGTCACTCCCGGCGCTCCCGGCTCCCGATCGGCTCCTCAGCGACGACTCCAAGGTCCAGTGGGCGGAGTCAGGTGACCTTCGCCGCCAGCTAGAGCGACTGCAGGGCGAGCTACGCCTCGAGCGGCAGCAGCGCGAGCGACAAGCGCTAACATTCGCACAGGAACGCCAAACCTGGCATGACGAGAAAGAGCGCGTGCTGAAGTACCAAGCGCAGTTGCAGCTAAGCTACGTGGAGATGCTACAGAAGAACCAGGCGCTTGAGGAGCGCGTGGACAAGCTAGGAGCCAAAATGGCCGCTCCGGCTCTGGCTTTACCAGAGGCGCCAGTTTCCGTGTCAATATCGCTGACGTCTCCGACCCCGCCGGTGGAAGAGAAGAAGAAGACGCCGGAGATGCAGCAACTCGCCCCGCCGTGGCCCGTTCCGACCCGACTGGAGAGGATCGAGTCCACCGAGATCTGACTAAAACCAAGATTACAATAGCATTCAGTACAATCCGAAAACGAAACCGCTTCCGAGGACTGTCCAAGGATGCCCTGCTTGTCTAGGGCGGGTGTTTGGGTTGGGTATGAGCCTTAGCCTTAGCTTTATCGGCTTGTCAAGGGCTGGTTAGTAGTGCAGATGAGCTGGCCGCTAGTCAGCCGCGAGAGGAAACGTAGCACTCAGGGGTTTAAGGGCGTAAGCTATTCAGACTGGGTTCAGGATCTCACAGAATATAAGAAGAATATCCTCGTTAGCAGCATTCAAAACAATCAAAACACACCGTCACCGTTTTCGGACCAAATCTTAGAGCCAGTCTTGAGTGTTTATGCCGTTTGTTTATTGCACTGGAAGGCCAGAAACATACTCTACACAAGTGCGCAGATGTGCATTACTACTGAGTGTTCGGAAGTTTGGGGTCTCTTCTGTGATCAAAAATGCAGAAAACATTATTGTTGCAAATGTGAATATATAGTAAAGTGTAATTTATTCCTGTGATCATCATCATTACTCCAGTCTTCAGTGTCACATGACCCTTCAGAAATCATGATTAGAAACATTTATGATTATTATTATTTTTGTAGAATCCGTGATACTTTGTTGCAGAGATTTGTCTCTTTTGATCAATTGAATGCATCCTCGGCGAATAAATAAAAGTATAAATGTCAAGCTAATTGTACTGACCCCAAACTTTTGAATGCTTGTGTAGCGAGATATACATAACTAACATGCTGAGAAGGCGTCGAGCGTTGCGTTACACTGCAAAAAATGCTTTTTGTCTTGTTTCTTAAATCAAGATGCATTTATTAGATGAGCAATGCTATAAGATATTATGTCTTGTTTTCAGGGGAAATAAATCAAATTAAGAGAGTTGTTGCTTAACACGAAAAATTATCAGACAATGGGGTCAGAAAAATAATCTTAAAGGGTTAGTTCACCCAAAAATAAAAATTAAGTCATTAATTACTCACCCCCATGCTGTACCAACCCCGTAAGACCTTCGTTCGTCTTCGGAACACAAATAAAAATATTTTTGATTGAATCTGAGAGCTGGATCAGTCCTACATAGACTGCATAAGGGACTGGCTCAGTCTTGACGGCCCATAAAGTCATTAAAGAAAAGGTTTAAATATTCCATGTGCCTACAGCGGCTCAATTATAAGTTTATCAAGCGACGAGACTACTTTTTGTGCGAAAAAAACATAAATAACGGCTTTATTCCACTATTCTATTACTTCCTTATGGGCGCATGCGCGAGAACTGAGACGAGGACGTTCTTCTCCTTCGTCTACTTCTTGTTACCGGCTGCTCACCGCTTAGGAGTTTTACCGCCCCCTACCGTATAAGATGATGATCCATATATAAGGCGCTCCAGATTATAAGTAACACTGTCGTTTTTTGAGAAGATTAAAGGCTTTTAAGTGCACCTTGTAGTGCGGAAAATACGCAAATTGAAAAGCGTATATACAGCGCGCATCTTCCTCTGCTTGTAAACAGAAAGTTTTGCACTTCCAGCTATATCAGCACGTCATCTTATACGGTAGGGGGCGGTAAAACTCCTAAGCGGTGAGCAGCCGGTAACAAGAAGTAGACGAATGAGAACGTCCTCGTCTCAGTTCTCGCGCATGCGCCCATAAGGAAGTAATGGAAAGTCGAATAAAGTCGTTATTTACGTTTTTTTTTCGCACAAAAAGTAGTCTCGTCGCTTGATAAAGTTATAGTTGAGCCACTGTAGGCACATGGAATATTTAAACCTTTTCTTTTAATGACTTTCTGGGCCGTCAAGAGGCAGTCCCTCAGGCTGTCTATGGAAAAGTGATCCAGCCCTCAGATTCAATCAAAAATATCTTTATTTGTGTTCCGAAGATGAACGAAGGTCTTACGGGGTTGGTACAGCATGGGGGTGAGTAATTAATGACTTAATTTTTATTTTTGGGTGAACTAACCCTTTAAGATTATTTTTCTGACCCCATTGGTTGATAGTAGTTCACTTTTAAAAAACACATTTGGTGATAATTTACTCACCCCCATTTAACTTTAAACGACACCAGACGATGAATAAGGGTCTTATCAAGCGAAACGATCGCTCATTTAATAAATAAATAACAAAGTTTAAGTTTTATAAGATCAAATGCTTGATCTGTGATGCGCGTTCGTGACTCTCCTGTTCATCAAAATGAACGAATCTTTTTTCGAGTCATTCATTCAACGAACGAAATGAACGAATTGACTCGGGAAAAGATTCGCTCATTTTGATGAACAGGAGAGTCACGAACGCGCATCACACAACAGAGCAAGGCGAGCATTCGTGCTTATAAAACTTAAACTTTGTTATTTATTTATTAAATGAGCGATCGTTTCGCTTGATAAGATCCTGGAGTCGTTTAAAGCCCTTTGAACAGTTTGCACTGAAACTGTCTTTTGGTCCCCATTGAAGTCCATTATATGGAGAAAATCCTGGAATGTTTTCATTTCTTTTCGACTGAAGAGAGAAAGACATGGACATCTTGGATGACACGGGGGCGAGTAAATTATCAGCAAAAGTTTTTTTTTAAAAAGTGAACTACTCCTGATTTATTTCCCCTGAAAACCACACCCATCTGGTAAATGCATCTTGATTTGAGAATTTTTTTGATATGTGGACTGGAAACAAGACACACAAGCATTATTTGTTGCAGTGTGTGAGTTGTGTGTGTGTGGGTTGACGCTCTTGTATGCAGTATGGGAAACTCAACTCTTTAGCCCGAGGCAGCAGCGGCGGAGGACGCGTGTTCATTTCGAGTCTGACGTACTGTTGTTTCTGTCCTGATGTGGAGTACACTAGAAGCAGGATCCAGATGGGATATGCTTTATTACCTGAGGGAGGTTTGGTTTATGAAGCTGCTCGACGGCTGAGCCAAAACCCGGAGCTAATTAGATTATATTTGACTTTACATTCTTCCAAAAAAGAGCATATATAATATGTGTCAATGTATACTTACTGAGAGTATCATTTTAGATTATTTGACTCTTAAAAATGTAATATGCAGTAGATTGAAGTGATGATTTACATGTGTTGAGGAGTAAGCTTGGATTGAGTATAAAATACTACGCATACTATTTCTGCAGAATGTATCCTGTGCAACAGAGCACACTGCGCACTGTCCGTTTCCCATGATGCAAAGCGCTTGATGACTTGATGGGTTTAATTGGAATTGTTTTAGGTAATGTTAATGAGCAATACGGTTGCGTTAGTTAAAGGTACACTGTTTTGTTTTGTTGTCTTTCCCTGATTCGCTTCGGGAAGCCGCTTGCGAGTGTTTTGTCGAGATGGTTTTCGTGGGAAACACGTGTGTGTGTGTGTGTGTGCTGTGGTAGTGTTTGTGTTTGTTTCTGGTGTGGGAGTTGCAGAGGTTAGTTAAATGTGTGTGTGTGTGTGTGTGAGTGTGTTTATCTTGCCTGTCAGCAGCTGTGTGTGTGGGTGAGTGACTGGTGGTGTGGGAGTTTGTGTATCTTGCCTGTGTGTGTGTGTGTGTGTTTGTCTGCTGTGGGTGTGTGTGTGTGTCTAGTAATATTCGCAGAAAGAGTAAAGTTCCTCTGACTGCTTTGACGCATGTGTGAGTTTGTGTGTGTGTCGCTGTGGGATTGTGTGTGTGTGTGAACAAAAGAGATTCTGTTAGAGAAGAGATCGCGACAGAGCTCGTAATAAAACAAGAATCAACATGTACCTTTAATACAATATTGTGCAGAAATGGCATCCAAATCGAGCCCGAGGAGTTCTGCTTCTGTGATCACACCGGACGGTCAAGGCGAGTGGACAGTGTGCTCTCTTGTGTACAAATTGCACAATTCGTATGTTTGTATGCTTTTCCCAACAGGGCCAGTTCACTAATGAACTACAGGCTCTGACGAGGGACAAACGTGCTTTGCTATTGTAGCGGTAGCAGTTTACAGAACACCTTTTGTTTTTTACAAAGTCTTTACAGTTTTTTACACTCACTAGGACACATAGTTTGGACACTTTTTCTAAACTCTTCCCAGTTCTCCTAACCAGCTTTCAGCGTCACTACAGTTCGTTTCACATTCAAAATGAAATGATGTAAACTCACAATTGTGAGATAAAAAGTCTCTGTTCTGTCTTTTTCTCGCAATTGCGACTTTATTTCTCAGAATTGCGACTGTATCTCACAATTGCGACTATTTCTCAGAATTGCGACTTTATATTTAGCAATTGCGACTATATCTCGCAATTGTGACTTTATTTCTCAGAATTGTGACTTTATATCTCACAATTGCGACTATTTTTCAGAATTGCGACTATATCTCGCAATTGTGTCTTTATTTTTCAGAATTGCGACTTTATATTTCGCAATTGTGACTATTTCTCAGAATTGCGACTATATCTCGCAATTGTGACTTTATTTCTCAGAATTGTGACTTTATAACTCACAATCGCGACTATTTTTCAGAATTGCAACTATATCTCGCAATTGTGTCTTTATTTTTCAGAATTGTGACTATTTCGTAATTGCCACTATTTCTCAGAATTGTGACTATATCTCGCAATTGCGACTTTATTTCTCAGAATTGCGACTATATCTCGCAATTGCGACTTTATTTCTCAGAATTGCGACTATATCTCGCAATTGCGACTTTATTTCTCAGAATTGCGACTATATCTCGCAATTGCGACTTTATTTCTCAGAATTGAAACTTTATATCTCGCAGTTTCGACTTTATTTCTCAGAATTGCAACTATATCTCACAATTGCGACTTTATTTCTCAGAATAGTGACTTTATTTCTCACAATTGCGACTATTTCTCAGAATTGTGACTTTATGTTTAGCAATTGCGACTATATCTCGCAATTGTGACTTCATTTCTCAGAATTGTGTCTTTATTTCTCAGAATTGCGACTATATCTCACAATTGCGACTTTATTTCTCAGAATTGAAACTTTATATCTCGCAATTTCGACTTTATTTCTCAGAATTGCGACTTTATACCTCGCAATTGCGACTATTTCTCAGAATTGCAACTATATCTCACAATTGCGACTTTATTTCTCAGAATTTGGACTTTATTTCTCACAATTGCAACTATTTCTCAGAATTGTGACTTTATGTTTAGCAATTGCGACTATATCTCGCAATTGTGACTTCATTTCTCAGAATTGTGTCTTTATTTCTCAGAATTGCGATTATATTTCGCAATTGCCACTATTTCTCAGAATTACGACTTTATATTTCGCAATTGTGACTTTATTTCTCAGAATTGTGACTATATCTCGCAATTGCGACTTTATATCTCGCAATTTCGACTTTATTTCTCAGAATTGCGACTTTATACCTCGCAATTGCGACTATATCTCAGAATTGTGACTATATCTCACAATTGTGACTTTATTTCTCAGAATTGTGACTTTATTTCTCAGAATTGCAACTTTATATCTCGCAATTGCGACTTTATTTCTCAGAATTGCGACTTTTTATCTCTCAATTGTGTCTTTATTTCTCAGAATTGCGACTTTATATCTCACAGTGGCAGAAACAAGCTTCCATACGTTCATGCATTGTTATAATTCATAAAAATGTTAGCAGGCGAATGTTAATTTTAATTATGTTATGTAAAAATATATAAAATTCTGAATGTGTTTGTTTAGCTACATCTATTTTTTTATGGTGTCCCAGACAACAACATAGTTTACAACATATTTCATATTAGTATTACTGTAAAAAATGTTAGGTTTTGACCTGAAGTTTAACAGAATGTAAACCTGCAGACTATACACACTAGAGTTTTAGTGGTGGTTTTGTTTGAGCGAGAAAATAATTAATGTAATTTAATTTGAAAGTTGTCGTTACCTGTATTTTGCACCAAAGCAATGATAAATGCTCCAGTTTATCCCAGTATGTGAAGAGTTTAGAAAAAGTTACATAAGTATAATTGAGAAATGTCCTAGCGATTGTAAAAAAACCTGTAAAGGTCACTTTATAAGCTATAGAAATTATACAAATGAACCACATCGATGACTTGCATCACATTTTTGACATTATATCGCGCAGTAACATGCCAGATTCCCTCTTATCCCTCATCCTTCCCTCTTTTTCAAAATGACCCGAATCCCTAAAATTATACTTAATTTTTTTTTTGTCCAGAAAGCTAATTTTATTCTGTTTTGATATTTTTGTTCTATTTTTTTTAGTGCATTTTTAAAAAAAAAAAAATGTTATTTTTTACCTTTAAATTACTAGATTTATTAAATAAATAGTCATTTAAGCACACTTGTCACATATATCTTACATTGAGTGTCTGTGCCCTCTTGTGGACAATAATAATAACACATGATATTTCATGACTTATACAGTTTCTTCAGTGTGCATTCAGAAAGACATACGTTTTAGCATTTTTAGTTTGAATTTTGACCTTTTTAGGTGTTTCTATGTGCACCGAAACATTAAATTGACCCGTGAGGGAAGGACTTGTTACTTTTTTTAAATTTCAACCACAAAACTCCTCTAATACATGTGTGTGTGTTCGTGTTTCAATTCACGTCCTCTGGTCTTGGACGGCTGATAAAACACTCAATTTCTTACAAATAAACGTGACCCGAGGGAAGGATGAGGGACTGCATATGAAATGCATCTGTAGCAACAAGCACAACAAAGTTATATATTTCCCTCAACGTATATCGCTATAGAAATGCAATAGGAAGTGGAAAACGGAGTCCTGCGGTGTCTCTCCCAGTTTTTCCCCAAAGCTTGTGCCTCTTTTTTTCCAATCATCAGCCAACTAGAGATAATCATCCCCGCCCCGCTGAGCTTTACGACACTAGTGTTGGAGACAGACGCCACACATTTGCTGCTATGTGCTTCTGTTGTGTTCTTCAGTAGAGACGAAAGCATGTAAATATCACTGTTCCTTATGTGTACAGAACTATCCTATCCAAATATACCGAGCTAATGCGTGTGAATACTTTTGTGAAGTAATGAGACTGACATGTCAGCTTTTATTTTTCAAACTATTAATATAGGAATATAATATAAATATATGAATCTTTGATCAACTTATTACAGTACAAGTCATACATTCAAGAGTCCGACGTCTTTCCCTTTCTCGATCAGTTCTTGAGATGTATGAGTGCAAGGTTTTTTTTGTAAACATTTCATTTTTTTTTTTTCTTCCGCAGAATTTGCTCGGAAAAGCATATCTTAGCAAATATTAATTTAAATAATAAAGATGTGAATAAGAAAAAAACAGTGTCTCTTCTCTTCATGACTGATTTTAGAATGTATAAAATATAAAAAACACAAATTTCATTTCTCAATTTCTAATGAGAATTAGGTAAGTCGAATTCAATACAGCAGAAATAACTATTTTAAATGACTAATTGCTTATGTTTGTCTAGATAGTAGATCTTTCCACACACACACACACACACACACTACCATTCAAAAGTTCTACCATCTGCAAGTTTTTTTGTTTTTTAAAAGTATTCTGCTCAAAAAGGTTTTATTTGATCATAAATACAAAAAAAAAAAAAAACAACGAAAAAAACAGGATGCATTAAATGCATAAAATAAAATAAATTAAATAGTAGGCTACTTTTTATTTAACTTTTTAATACTATTTAAATCGTCACAATATTGAACGATATATATAAATATATTGTTTTGTAATCAAATAAATGCAGCCTTTATAAAAAAAAAAAAAACATTACAAATCTCATCGATCCCAAATTTTTGAACGCCTACTACAGATGATGGAAATATGCGATTTCGTTCGTATGCTGCCTCTTACGAGCTTCCGTACTGCGCATGACATCTGCCTTTACCACTACACATTCACGTGTGGATTCAGATTCAGATTGAGCAAGTGAGTGTTTTGCGATGTATCCTCCTCATGAGATAAATACTCCACTTGAAGACCACACGCGCTGAAGAAGGTACGTGTTTATGTTATCTTTCCAGAGTCGCTCGGAGTGTGTCGTGTTCGTTGTGTTATTTAACAGATGAATGTGACGTCTATGGTTCTGCTGCTGTCAAGGACGGGCAGTAGTTTATGATTGGTCAAAGACGTTTCGCCAAACGGAAATACAGTTTTAGTTATTTTACTTTTGATGTTCTTTAAAAATAAAAGCAGAACAGAAAAGCGAAATGCCATGTGAATTTCAGTTGTACGATCTGGGATTCTTTTTTGACGAAACGAAGTAGAAACTCTGTTACGGTGTTTATGGTGTCATTCAGATTACAGTAATTTACGTTATAACTAATATTAGAGTAGTGTGTTCCCAAATTAACGTTTTTTTCTTTTAATTAAAAAATGTATTGGCTGATTTTTTACTTTAAATTATCGTGAATGCTATCATTGAAAGTGTATGCAATTAACGTCAAAATAACAACAATGTAATGTTTATTATGCTTTAAGCTTGTTAACCTGCACATACCCACATGTAATACCACCATAAAAAATAACAACAATTCATTCTTATTTTTCATGTAAAATTGCAGTGAAGGGATGCCACCATATTTTCAAATATAATGTTCGTTCGTTATCGGTTATAAGAAGATTTGTCTGATATCTTGAAGTCCACAGTAGTGAATAATTTTATCCCATAAAACTCATCTTTTATCACCAAAATGACATATTTAACATTTTTTTTTTTGCCTTAAAATATCTTGAATGTAACTTGATACCCTTGGCTCATTTAGTATATGTGGTTTTATGAATATGCAATTGAGCCCCGCCTCCACTCACTCACAGCAGCTCAGAGATCCACTGGTTGAGAAGATTTGACCGATATATGTCTTTTAAAAAAGCCAATAATTGAGGTATTAGGCTATTTGCTTCAGCTGAGACACTTCAGATGCGCACTGTTCACCATGATGATTTTGAATTGCTCGAAGTATGATTGGAATCACTTCAAAAAAGGAAAATAAGATAAAGTGTAATGTGCAGCGCAAGTCTGTCATATTGGCTATAAAATTATAATGAGAACATTATAATTGTGTGCTTGGGACATGAATTTTAATGGTGAAACTTTTTTTGTAACACGGCTTAAAAATAATGTATACAAATTTGGATTTAGATTTATCGGCCGATATATCGGTTATCGGCTTCCAAATATAAAGAATTATCGGTTATCGGTATCGGCCAAAATGTTCATTCCAGTGCATCCCTAGTTTATTATAAATTATTTATCCGTGCAAATTACAGTTTTTTTTTTTAAATATTAATGAGCCTTCATAATCTTTCATTACAATATTAGATATACAGTGGTGGCAAAAACTGATGTCTAACTTGACCCTAAAAGTTAAATTAAACCATGAAAATGTGAGGATTTAATATATATATATATGGTACTTTCCTGTTATCCGGACCCCACCATATACCATTTAGGAACTATAGTCATCCATGATTGGTCTTAACCCCAGTGACGGGTAGGTTTAGGGGCGGGGTTAGGGGTAGGCCATCGTCCCTGATTGGTCTTAACCCCAGTGACGGGTAGGTTTAGGGGCGGGGTTAGGGGTAGGCCATCGTCCCTGATTGGTCTTAACCCCAGTGACGGGTAGGTTTAGGGGCGGGGTTAGGGGTAGGCCATCGTGGGGTCCAGATAACAGGAAAGTACCACATATAAATATATATATAGAGCCAGGCCGATATTATTGGCCGATATTAGGCATTTTCTAAAATATCGGTATCGGCAGTTATAATGGCCGATAAATGAATATTTCAAAAATAAAATAAAAACTGACGAATCACGCTTCAACCATGTCATGAGTGTTGTCAAAAAGTGCAGGTAAAGGGATAAGCAAGCTGACATTGTAATTATAAGGTAGCTTATAACTATAAGGCAATGTAGGGACTAATTATTAATTTATTTATCAGAATTTGTTCCTCTGTTCTGTTGTGACAATAGAAACAAGTTTCTTTTTAAAATGCATTATCATATTAATTTAGGTAAAACTCATAAATAACTACAAATAACTAATGTTAGGGAAATCTGTTAATATTTTGTTGCGCGTTTCTGAAATAAATAAAAAATAATAATAATATCGGCCGATATATCGGAATATCGGATTTTAAAACCAACAAATATTTGTATCGGTATCGGCCTTCAAAATCCTTTATCGATCTGGCTCTAATATATATATATATATATATATATATATATATATATATATATATATATATATGAAGGCATAGCAAAACCCTAAATTTGTTTAAGGTATTTATCTGACAGGATTATTTGGCGCAGGAAACTTACTATCGTTCTGACTTTGAAATACAAACGTATATATTGTTTTCAAGTAGCTACATTGTTGATATTTAAATTGAAAACGCATCTCTTGTGTGATCTTTTCCAGTCTGCCGTTGATGTCTGCAACTGTGCTGTTTCATCATTTCGCAAAGCGTCGACTTTATGTCCATGTACAGCGTATCTCCATCTTTAGAGCCCAACATTTGTCATCAAATGTGGAAAATGGAGAGCAAAAGAGAGAAGAAGAAACAGAAAGAACACTGGTGTACAAGCCCTCGGCTTATTACCAGACACCGACGGCACGTAATACCACCGCTGGCTGCTTGGAAACTAAAGAAGAATCGTCCAGTAGCCTATCCCTAAACACAACTTTCCATCAACAGCGTAACCTGTACCGTATTAGCTCACGACAGCTCTCCAGCACCAAGAATATGCCGTCAAGCATGGACTACGGTAACGCTGAATCAAACCAAGAGCCACGAGTCACCGGTGACCCACGTGCCTTTCAAAGATGTCGACCTGAGTACCAGAACATGACCTATGATGTCTCCCAACGCTCGTCTACTTTAGACCTCAACGAAGCCTTGTTAGTCCTTGAAAAAGTAACCGAACTAAAAAGCAACATGGGACCTTCAGATGCAACTAGTTTCTTGTGCAAACTCAGCCAGATCCCCCACGAACAGATCGCGGTTGTAAGGAAAGACGCGCGGTTTAACGCGCTACTGCAGCACAGCGCCGAAATCTTGCACAATTTCACGCCGGCCGAGTTATTAGATACGCTGAGATCATTTGTGGACTTGGGCTTGCCTAAATTCCACAGCATACTGGGATTGTACGAAACCGAGTTCTGCCGACGAGTAAGTGAAATGGAGATTCACCAGTTGCTTCTCGCCGCCGACTTGTGGCGATGCCTCGGTCGGTTTGTTCCTCGGTACCTTGAAAAACTCTTTGACAAGGTGAGCCAGAACTTCAACCAACTGGGTCTTCCAGAGCTGCTTCAACTCATGTACGTTATTGGAGAAGGAAGGAGATGTCCGGATGCCCTTGTCCAACCCATTGAGTCGTTACTCATGCGTTATTTGAACCAGTTGAAGCCTGAAGAACTGGAAGCTGTTTCTTTAGCCCTCTTTAAGTCGCAGATCTCCCTGTCCGAGAGAGCAGCGCGCCGGCTTGTGGACAGGGCTCTCGCTGTAGTCGATGATTTGAGTGATTTCGGGATCGCCAATGTGATGAAGCTTATGAGATTTAGCTATTTGGACCATCTTCCCTGGTTGGAGGCCATGGGATCCGAGGTGCCTCGTCGGGCCCCGAGAATGGAGGTTCAAGGCCTAATGCACGTCGTCTTGTCTTGCTCCGCTCTTCACTACCGGGATCATCGGATTCTCCTGGCTGTGGCCGAGGAACTTCCCAACGTGGTCGACCGGGGCAGGAGTAAAGATGCTGCAAAGATGCTTTGGGCCTTTGGGACATTAGGAGTTCTTCCCAACCAAAGTCCTAAACTTTATCCCTGTCTCACGGCGATCTTACGAGAACGTCAACTTGAGTTTCAGAGATTCCCTGAGCATTTGCTGACAGGTCTCCTCGGTCTTGCTTTTGTTGGTCTCTTCCCCGAAGACTTGCTCAGTCTGGCTTTAAGCGAAGAGTTTGTGAACAAAACTTGCAATTCCAAGACGCTCGAGTTGAAGAAAGACTTGTTCACTTTAGATGGAACTGTTGGCTTGGAGTTGCCCGGGTCGAAGATCCCTAGACTTAGCCACGCAATAAGGGAAGAAGTGACCGAGCAACTCTGGGATTTTGCTCAATCGGATATCTGTCGTAAGCCTGAGATCCTTGAGGCTGAAGTTGTCTTGCAGAAACTTCTAGGCGGAGAGATGTTTGTGCGCAAGCACATGATTCTTCCACATTTGCGCTCTATTGACCTAGAAGTGCACTTGGACCAAAACGACCAACCTGTTCCCGTGTCCTCCGAAACTCCCGCCTCTCAAAACTGGGAACAAACCCTCTCTGGAGTAACCATAACTGACGACCTACTCGCTCAACTTACTAATTCCCAGAAGATTCCAGTGCAGCCGTCCAACAAGTTCCTCCAAAAGCCAGTTGTTCACGCTGTTGAACCGGTCCACGTGAGAGAAAGCATTTTCAGCGTTGGTGTCGACTTGACGGATGATCTTCTAATGGCGTTGACCAAATCCGGGAAGCGCTTGTCGTCTCACTCGGGTGATTCTTCTAAACCGTCTATTCAGAGACTTGCTGTTCAAGTGACGAATAGGAATCAGTATTGCTACCGGACTGAGCAGCTGCTTGGATTTCATGCATTGAAGCGACGGCAACTCCTTCTGTCTGGGTACAGAGTCGTCGAGCTGCCGCACTGGGAATGGTTTCCCTTGTTGCGACGCTCACATGCTGAGAAACTCGCCTATATGCACTGCAAGATATTCAGTGATACGGGCTCCAAAAAATAGACTTACTCCGGTCCAATTACGCCTCATGTTTCTGCACTGAAGTGTTTTTATGAAATGACTGTATTGCTTCACATGTGCAAGTGAATAAATGACAAGTTCTCTGCAGTTTTTATCTTTGTATATGTTTGCTTTGTTCTGCTTTCTTTGTTTTTGACATTAACCCTCTGGGGTTGTTCGTTTCAGAGTCACACTCGGGGTGTTTCGAAGATTTTTTTTTTTTCCTCGTTTTTTATAATATTTTTTCTTTTCTTTTTTGGTGTTTTGAGAAAATTTCAAAAAAAAATATATATATAATTAGTATAATGCAGTAATTATGACAAAATTTCCCCCCATTGAACATAATAGAAAAAATATTTAAAAATATATATATATTTATTTTTTTTAAAGCTGTATTTTATTTTGGAGTCAAGCCTAGGCCTCATAAAAGCAATTTTTGAAATGAGATGGACAAACTGAGCATTTTAAAAATGCAAAACATATGTATAATCTGAATTTTTGGTGTGTGTGTGTGTGATGTGTCTGTTTTGCACTCTTGATGTTTTATAGATTCACCCCTTCACTGTTGTGTGCTTTTTTTCAAGATCGTGGCTGATTTGTAGATTGTACGCACAAAAAAACTCAGTATTTTCACATTTTTGCCAATTTCCCATTCATTTTCCATGCGGGTCCATTTGGACCCGAACACCCCAAGTGTGACTATTTTTTTACAACCACTTAGACTATTCACATCCTGTCCCCAATTTTTTTGGGTGTTGAAATACCAAATACCAACAAAGTCACCAAATTTTGGACCATTCCGAGGAAGCTGTGATTTTATTAAAAAAAATTTTATTTAAATTCTTCGGGTCCATTTGGGCCGAACAACCCCAGAGGGTTAAGAGATGCACGATATATTGGCCACCATATCGGTATCGGCCGATAGATAGTCATTTTTAATGTTATCGGCCTGATAAAAATATTTGGCCGATATCTTAAAGCCGATAAATAATGGATTAAATCCCACAGCTGAGACACTTCATATGTGCACTGTTCAACATGATGATTATGAATCGCTTGAAATATGATTGAAATCACTTCAAAAAAGGAAAATACAGTAAATAGTAACATGTGCAGCGCAAGTCTGTCATATCGGCTATAAAATTATAATGAGAACATTGTAATTGTGTGTTTGGGACATGGATTTTAATGGTGAAACTTTTGTTTTTGTAACGAGGCTCTAAAAATTTTAGAAAAATTTGGATTTAGATTTATCGGCCAATATATCAGTTATCGGCTTTTAAATATAAAGAATTATCGGTTATCGGTTTCGGCCAAAAATCGGTGCATCCTTTTAGTTAGATTAAATGATGCAATTCAGACATCATTTTCTTCAGTTGAAAATTAATTGAGTGAACCTTCTATACATTCATTTCAAGCCGAAGTATATGAAGAAGTAGGCCAGATCAGATAGGTATAATAGCTTAACTTTATCACCCTAGTTTTAATTTGTAATGAAAGTCCTCAGATGTGATGTTACTTTGGGTGTGTTCACACTTGGCATGTTTGGTTCAATTAAAACAAACCCTGGTGCAGTTACCTCTATCAATGTGGTTCATTTGAATAAGTGTAAATGCTACTATTGAGATTAAAGACATGTAAACAAACCAAAAACAGCAAATGATGTCACAAGGTGCGACCCTAAAAAGGTCATAGACCTTTGTTTGTGTGTGACTGAGGGATTCCTGCTCCTGTTTTGAGTCCTTAAATCAGTCAGCTGGCCAGAAAACCATTATATGTATGATATGCACTTACAACGAGTGCAATTAACCCAGAACACAGCATAGTTTTGGATGTTCGGTAAGTTCCATTGCGAAATACACCTAATAAAAGACACAATCAAAGCCGACCAATCAGGTTGTGAACATATCCCAGATAGGTTTGGTGTTAAAAATGCCAATGAGAACGCTCAGCGAACCAGGACTAAATGTTTTGGGGTGTTTTTGGTCCAGACCAAATGAACCAAGTGAACCAAAACTTGAATTTCTACTCTGGGACTTTCCATGAACATTTTTTATTGTATAAAAACAAATCCAGATAGGAATCATATTTTACCAGACAAACCAATGGTTGAAAATCAGAATTATTATTTCCACACACTAGCATTCAGTGAATGACATGATGAACTAATTATCTTATAAATAATTTTCAACAATACAAATACAAAACGGCAAATTCTTCATAAATTCTGACTAAATAAATGAAATGTATATTGATCGAGTTAATTGGTCAAAAATATGTTAAACCCCCCACAAGTTCATTTAGAATTAATGTTGTAATACTAGTGTAATTTTGACTCAATTGAAACATACTGAAAAACAGTCAGGTGGTTCCATATCATTGCATCATTATTACATTATTACACAACACCGAAATTCATTTGTTTATATGCAGATAGTTTTGCTAATACTCTGCCCAATGAGTCACCGTCCAAACGACAGAAATATAATTGTGAATGTGCCATATTTTCACACACACATATTCTTCATTGACCCTCAATGGTTAAATAAGCTGAATATTATAAGTTAATTTTTGATAAATGACTGTTCAAACATTGCTATACGAGGCAAATCTGTCAGTCTCAGTCAAGTGAGTTTATCTGACTATGACACTGTTCTCACACCATAAACTACTTTACATTCAAATCAAACTTTCATGTCCATATATTAATGTATTTGTTTTGCAGCAATGCAATAAGGAAGATAATGTACATACAATTGCGAAAACACAATATTCCTCATTTGAAAATGAATTGACTGAGACATATAATCCAAGTCTAAATGCTTATTTTGAGAATAGAGTCACATGCCAATGTATATATTTATGTAAAATGTGTAAACCTGAGTATTTGATTAAGGACTCTCGAACTATTTCTATTTCTCGGCCCGGTTCAAATGCGACCCTCCTCCATCCAGAAGCTTCGCAATCTGACTGACACTCGCGCAAGCCAATGAAATCGCTCCAGTTCGCCTCATCTGATGACGTTTCCGCCACCCGTACGTGTGCAAATCAGCATCAGCCAGCGTGCAACGCTCAGCCAATGAGCGCCTTCCAACGAGCTGCTCTCTGACCAATAGCGAGGCTCCACGACGGGGACGCGGTGACGGCTTATATACAGGCGAGCGCAGAGCCATGAGTTACATTTGAGAGACAGAAAACACTAGAAACACTGACAGAGAAAGAGACATTCACTGCGTTCAAGCCCACGCCCTTGATATTACTGCTTATTACTGCATTATCAGGTAAGAAATATGTATATTATTATCATCAGCATTAAGCTGTGTGTTATTATTATTAGCGTTGAGCCATTGTGACTGGATTGATTGGAGAAATGGATCTTCATAAGATAAAAATGTCTTTATTTTAAATGGGTTTCGATAATAAATGTGCTTTTAAATGTTATGGGATTTTGAGTGTGTGTTACAGTTATAATAGAAATGGTCAAATGTAATGAGTATTTGATGCTCAGGGATTTAGCAGCACGAGGTTGAAATGGATACTGACTGTACTTGAATATTATGACTTATTCATATGACCATCATTGATATTTGCTTCTGATGTGTTTCTTTTTTTTTTGTGGAAAATGGTGTCCATTGATAAATGACCTTTAATTATGGATTTTAGTGTTCTCTCAATACTTAATTTTGAGCTGCATCTGAATTCAGTGCATCAGTTTATGCCATTTTGGGTTGAAATATCTAGAATATATAATATATATAAAATATATAGAACATATAAAATATATTAAATTATATAGACTATTTAAAAATCAGAGTTTTTGCATGAAGAGTTTTTTTTTTTTTTTTTTTCTTGGGTTTTAATAGGCCACACTTCCAGCCTGTGAGTGACGTTTACTGTGTTCTGTACCTGCCCTGACCTTTGACATGAGTTTTTTTGTGTGTTCTTCCAGAAGTGAAGCCTGAGTTAGACTGCTGAGATGCGACTGCTCTGCTTGTGTCTGCTGGTGGCCGGCGCTGTGTTTGCCGAGGATGATGATAAGAGGGAGAGTGTTGGGACGGTGGTGGGAATAGACCTTGGGACCACATACTCATGGTGAGAATGAGTTTGAATTTGTATGTGGTCAATAGAATTTATTTTCAAGAGAAGAAAAAATAAAAAATAAATCTAAATATTTTTTTATTAACACACAGAGACGCATATTATTATATACATACATGCATATATATATATATTAAAAAAAACTAGAACAATGTATAACCTTAAAAATAATGTGACTGTATTATTTAAATACGTTTTAAATAATACAAATGTATTTTAATACATAATTTAAATGTAATTATTTAAAAATAATTACATAAAATGGAAAACCTATATTTTTATTTATATATAATTTGTATGCAAAATATATACAATTTTCAATAAATATTAAAATTTATATTTAACAGAACAAAATAAATAATATAATTCAGAATTTGTATAATTTTATTTCAATTTAATTTATAATTAAAAGTTTTATTAATTTACATATTTATTTAACTAGACCAAAGTTTATTTTTGTAAAAATATTTAATACAAATATATACAACATTGTATGCACTTCATATGTAAATATACAATTTTCAACAAATTTGTGTCATTTATTTGACTAGAACAATATAATTTAAAAAAGCACATTTAATATACATACAAAAAAAATAAAGATATTATATACAAAATACATTCAACAACGATGCTCTGCTATTATACTCCATAATAAACACTATGCCGTTTCCTCAGTGTTGGCGTGTTCAAGAACGGGCGTGTCGAGATCATCGCGAACGACCAGGGAAACCGCATCACTCCCTCATACGTGGCCTTCACCACCGAAGGAGAGCGTCTGATCGGGGACGCGGCCAAGAACCAGCTGACCTCTAACCCCGAGAACACGGTCTTCGATGCCAAGCGTCTGATTGGCCGAACGTGGGGCGACTCCGCCGTGCAGCAGGACATCAAATACTTTCCCTTTAAGGTACAACCGGTGTTGAGCCAAATATATAATATTGAAAAGATCAACACTCTTCAGTCTGGTGTGACCCGTCGCTTTAACCGTGTCTCCAGGTGATCGAGAAGAAGAGCAAGCCTCACATCCAGCTGGACATCGGCTCCGGCCAGATGAAGACGTTCGCGCCCGAGGAGATCTCCGCCATGGTTCTGACGAAGATGAAGGAGACGGCCGAGGCTTACCTGGGAAAGAAGGTAACGGTTTGATTGTTCACGCGCAGACGAAACACTGAGGCGACGAACTCGACGTCTGATTGGCTTGTGCTTTCGTTAAAGGTCACGCACGCTGTGGTCACGGTTCCCGCTTACTTCAACGACGCTCAGCGCCAGGCCACTAAAGACGCGGGAACCATCGCCGGCCTGAACGTCATGAGGATCATCAACGAGCCGTAAGTGTAGATCGACATCAGTGTTTTGGGATCATTTATATGTTTTTATACACGCTAACATTTCAAAGTTAGTTAATTTCATTTCAGAAAATAACTTCATTTGAAATTTCATTACAGAACGGCGGCTGCGATCGCGTACGGCCTCGATAAGAAAGACGGAGAGAAGAACATCCTGGTGTTCGACCTGGGCGGCGGCACCTTCGACGTGTCCCTGCTGACCATCGACAACGGCGTGTTCGAGGTGGTGGCCACCAACGGGGACACACACCTGGGCGGAGAGGACTTCGACCAGCGCGTCATGGAGCACTTCATCAAACTCTACAAGAAGAAGACGGGCAAGGACGTGCGCAAGGACAACCGGGCCGTGCAGAAGCTGCGGCGCGAGGTGGAGAAGGCCAAGCGAGCGCTGTCCGCCCAGCACCAGGCCCGCATCGAGATCGAGTCCTTCTTCGAGGGAGAGGACTTCTCCGAAACCCTGACCCGGGCCAAGTTCGAGGAGCTCAACATGGTGAGAACACACACACACACACACACACTCCACTACTACAGCAGATGAGATTTCATGGATTTCATTTGTGTTCAGGAATTTAGTAGTCGAGTGCATAATGAAGAGGGGGGGGGGAGATCGATAACTAAATAGAAATATTAGAAGGTTTAAAATAAAACTTCTCCGAAACATTGTGGAGCTCAACATGGTGAGGGAACTTGACTATTTTTAATATTCTTTTAGTTTTTATTTATTTCTTTTGACTTATTTTAGTAATAGTACATAATAAATGAATAAAGTAAATAGAAATAGTAGAAAAAACTGAAATTTATTAGTATGAATGTAGAGTTTATTTCCACCTAGTTATTCATTTATATATTTGATTACTAAAATAAATGGAAAATTATAAAAATATAAAACAAAACAGAAATATTACACAAAGGCAATTGAAAATGAATAAAAATACATCGAAATATAACCCCCCCATAAACTTAACTTCTACTTCAATATTTGTATTATTAATTTAATATTTCTTTTTGGTGAAAGTCCTAAATTGCTCCAGTGAAAATAAAAAATAGAAATATTAAACTAATAGGAAATGCAAGATAGTACTAAAATATAAATACTTATTATTATTATTATTATTATTTTTTTTAGTGTTTAAATATTTTTTTATTTTTACTGTAGTATGAACAAACTAAATAGATTTATTAAAATAAAGGCTTATTTCACTTTCAGTTTTAGTTGAAAGAAATAAAAAAAATTTTTTTTTAGTTTTTAAATATTTATTCATTTTTACTGTAGTACGAACTCAAACTAAATAGAAATATTAAAATAAAGACTTATTTCATTTTCAGTTTTAGCTGAAATAAATAATAAAATATATTAGTCTCATTTTTATTTATTAAAACTGGTTCAACTTTTAAACTAATAAAAATGACCATTCTAACTAATAAAAATGACAGTTCTTGACAATAAAATGTCACAATTTTAATTAACTTTACCCAAAATAAAACTTAAAGCATCTTAACAAAACCAAATTCCAAATATGAATAAATACTATGTTTGTCTAGCGCCCCTGAAGTAACCGTGTGTGTGTGTGCGCAGGACTTGTTCCGCTCCACCATGAAGCCGGTGCAGAAGGTTCTGGAGGATTCGGACCTGAAGAAGACCGACATCGACGAGATCGTGCTGGTCGGCGGATCCACTCGAATCCCGAAGATCCAGCAACTGGTGAAGGAGTTCTTCAACGGCAAAGAGCCGTCCCGCGGGATCAACCCGGACGAGGCGGTGGCGTACGGCGCCGCGGTGCAGGCCGGCGTTCTGTCCGGAGAAGAGGACACTGGTGAGTCCGTGTACACACACACACACACACACCATCAACGCAAGAGTTTATTGCTTGTGTTTTACGTTTTGAATGGGTTGGCGGCACCTTGTTTATCAGAGCTTTCACACACACACACACACACACACACTCCTGTCAAAGCACTGAGGTCGTCCAGTAGGGCTGCACAATGTATCAAAATATTGCGTGTGTGTGTGTATATATATATCGGGATATGCATATCTCAACAGCCTTCAATAACTAACGCTGCTCTCGGCTGAATAACTTTACTAGCTTTAATAAGAATCCGTATATACAAATGAGAATATGGAGCAAAAGTTCATTTATTTCAGTAATTCAACTTAAAAGCTGAAACTAATATATTATA